CCCCACAGGCTGGACCAGCTGAGGAACTTACAGGCTCTATTCTTCACTCTAAAGTTTAAATAATTACAATTTTTTTTTTCTTTTTGCATCCTATCCTCTGCTGATCCTTCCTTTCCCAGCAGCCACTTGAAAAATTCACCCAGTTAAAAAGGGGAAGAAATTTGCTTTCCTCTTTCAGAAACTTCAATGACGCTACTCGCACAAAGGACTTCAAACATCAAAATTCTATTGTCTTTCCAGTCACAGCTTTTAGAGTATTCATCTCTTCAGCCAAATGAATGCTACAAAGGAAATAATACGCTCATGTCATAAACATCACAAACTATGAGGAATATAGATCTTTGGAAAAGAGAGAAATGCGTTCACCGTTTGTCATTACACGACACCACAGCCGAGCGCAGCAGGAAAGCCGCCCGTTAACGCTCGTTCCAACAAACCCCTTCCTACAGAAGTCACGCGACTGTACAAGCCACCTTTCGACTTCGCACCCCTAGTTCTACAAGTGGTCAATGAGGAGAGATACACAACAGTTCTACAGGGAGATCACTGAGGTGGATACACAAATGGGCCCTTCCGGAGTGAAGTCAGATTTTCAGCAGTTCCACAATGCTACATTCATGCTACCAAGTTCATTGAATCAGGATTTCACTTTAGAAAAGAGAAGGGAAGAACAGGTTGTCTGTCTCCAGTTCGGAGCACAGCCATAGGAGGTAAAAGGGTCAGACAGGGAGAGTTTTCTGTCAGCATTTTAGTCCTGCCACTACCATTCCCTTCTCCAAATAACGCACGACTTCGTGCTTTCACCGCACGCACCGCTCCCCCCTCTCACACGCACAGCTGGCGGAAGCTAAAGACATAATTGGCATCATTTTTTTTTTTTTTTTTTATATCTGGCATTTTCTTCCAAAAGCTACAGGTCAGTGTCCGTTATCCCCTTCACTACACGCCTGGGACACACAACCAAGTCAAGAGGGGAAGAGTCGAGCCAGGGATGACGCAGCTACCAAACCTCCCCGGGGTCAGGCCAGCACCGCTTCCAACAGCCCCAGACCGGAATGGGAGGCAACAGCCCACACCTATTCGGTTCCATATCTCGCTTTCAACGACTTCAAACCATCTCTCTCCACCTATTCCTCTCCTTACTCACTCTATGTACATTATTTCTTCAACAGTTTTGCTATTCTAGCCAGAGGCCTGCTCCCCAGGATTACAACCACAGATATGCCACAGGGGAGGGAGTACTCTACAGATCAGAACAACGAGTTCTTTTGGTAAGTATTGAAAAGAAGATTTGTACACATATTTCCCTTCACAATCAACTAATTTTAGATATCAGGAAATCAGGAAACCAGGGTAATCCTTCCTGGTTATTCTCCAGTATATTTTACTTATAAAAGAAATCACTTGTATCGCCTCCCAGAACTGCCAGAGTGACCTACACAGACTGTAAGTAGTATTTATCCTCTGAACAGGAGAGTAGAAGATGAAAAGAAAACCCTTCCCAAAACAAAAAGTAATCCCCCGACCTAACCAAACAAAAAGTAAATATATTCCAAAATATATCCTCAAATATCAAATACAAATCCGGGTTCTCAAACCACGGCTGCCCTGACAAAGCTCTGCCTTTACTCTGTCCTACACAGGAGGGGACACGAGCAGCTCAGGCCACTGAACAGGTCTTTTTAGCATTGGAAAAGAGGTGATTTATGCACAAACAACTGGCAATCACGTGAAGATCGGGAAGATTCCAACTCAGGCTCCAAACCCACACCGCGCTCCTCCAGAAGCATTTCTTCCCAGCGCCTCGGGAACAGTCTCCTCGGAGGGTCTCCGCTGGCTGTGCGACCGCACTGCTCCACACAGCAGACTGGAAAGAGAACTTGTCTCCCAACACACAGCAAAACACTGGCATGAACAAGTAATTACCATGGCTATTAATTTCTAATTCATTTTTATACCGTAGTAAGCCTGACACGAGGTTTCTCAGCCAGGTATCGCATTTCTAACCTAAAGTATTTCAGCAAAACTCAAGTCCCGTAGTTTTGCAAGCAGCAAAATAGAAAGTAACAGAGTTGTGTCTAACTGGAGGAGAGATACACATCCATGAGAGCACGTACAATTAGTGCAGCACAGCCACTCTGAAAGGAACGAACCAAAACGGGTTAATCAATGCAGCAGACATGCAGGGTCTGCTAAGTTATGTTAAAACCATGTTTGCTGGTGATTAAATATGTCTACAGAAGATATATTACCATTCTGAATATATTTTCAAGCAGACCAAAAATACCTCATCTATTGGTTACTGGTGTGTTATTCTTAACTAATTAAATACTGGGAGGGATTTTACCCCTCTCGCTATAAAAATTGCACTTATTTTCTATCAAACAGAACAAAACCAAAAGTTAGATTTCAATTCTATATTCCAGTATATATTCACATTGAAACTGGATCGTCTTGATCTAAGCTTGCAGGAGTAGGTGTAGCGGTCCTTGCTCTCCAAGATCCTCAGCACAGAAGCTCCCATCAGTCCAAACCCCTCCTCCCTCTGTGCTCTGGTCACTTCTTCATTGTAGTGCATGGGTAATTGATTTTATTTTTTTGTAAGAAAACCTGAGCTTTGAAAGTCTTTAAAAGGACCTGGAATCAAATCTGGCCCATTCTGACCCAAAACAGCTCAGTTCTGCAAGGAACTCCATCCTGTCCTCGCTTCACACAGCTCCTCCTGAGACACCACGGCTCTGACCCGAGGCGAGCGAGGTGTCACACCCTTTCCCTCCAGTCTCTCTTGACCCAGGAGCCTTTCGTCCCGACGCGCTGCCGAGGGCTCCTTCTCCGCTCCCTTTTGCACTGCTGCCTCCCGTAGGGCTTTGAAGGGCTCCCCGTGCCAATAAAAAAGTCTCTCTGCAATAAGCATGACTTCTTGGACACCGGTGATCGACTTCCTCTTGCAAAGTCTTCTCCAGCTCATAAAATGTCATCGTAATCCAATAGCTTAGAGTGCTGGCGGGTCTTCCAGAGGCGGTAAAGGCGGAAGTCAAAGTAAGTCTCGATCATTTGCTTACCTAGGAGAAGCGAATCGAAGCAGAGGGGTTACACCCTGCAGCACGAGGGAGAGACGCGAGAGGCCGCGGCAGCAATGAAAACCCAACGCACCGGAGGGCAGGGGCACAGCAGAAGCCACCCGTGTGCCTCATCTGGAGAACATTGACATTCAGCACCCACCCCAGGCACGCCAAGGCGCCCCTGAGAAGCAAACTTCTTTTTGGATCGCCTCAGACCATGAAATAATCCCCTGGCAGGGTTTGTCCGTGGGGGTGGGAACGGAGCACAGAGTCTGTCTCCAGCCTTGGACCTCCCTGCCCTGACTGCAGAAGGGGGGGCCAGGGGCTGCAGAGTACCAGACAACAGCTCCAACCTGCGCAAGGCAACTTGGCACAGGGACGTCGGAGAACTACGAATGAAGAGTAAACTCATTGTAAAGATTTGTGGGAAATATTAAAAATCATTAATGTTGAAAATGCAAAAAAAAATTTATTTTTTTAAATGAATGTTACCAGGCTGTCCCTGTCCTGCAGAACTGTCTCTTCTCACAGCAGTGAGCTCAGCAGGACACACGAATACAGAATCCCAGAATGGCAGGGGTTGGAAGGGACCTCTGTGGGTCATCCAGTCCAACCCCCCTACCGAAGGAGGGTCACCCAGAGCTCTGCACCGCTGGCACCTCTGACTGAAGGCGGAGGGTCTCAAAAAGCAGCCACAGACTGAAGGCCAGGCACAGGAGGCCGCGCGTGCGTTGGGAAACACGAGGGCAAACAACCCTGGATTCTGGGACAGGGCTTGAGGAGGGGATTTTGCTGAAGATTAGTTTCAGATGACTTTGTAAAGGATTAGAGAGGTTACACTATTAGCGCGTCCCAGACTGATGAAGGGGATAAATTCAGCCCAGCCTCCTGGAAGATTAACAGCTTAACGCATGCGCACAGAGCCCGCTGCCTTGCCTGCCAGGCTGTGCACAGACCCAGGAATTTCCCTGCACGTTGCCTCCTGGCACACACACGTACGAGCACGTTCACTCTGAGATCTGTGCAAGCACTGCACAAAGCCGGGTCCAGACCTCAGCAGGATGCCCACAGAGAAGCCTGCGCAGCTCGAACGTGCTCAACTCCCGTACATTCCTAGGACGGTGAGTAGGAGTTAAGCATACTCCGTCAGTGCTGGTGCCAGCTGTGAGCACCAGAGGAAGCATCCACAGTGCTCACAGCCTCTTCCAAGAGAACAAAGTACCAAGGACTACAGCAAAGACAAAATAACAAGGGCGACTTCAGAATAACTCAACTATATGTCACTTATGAAACTGCACTCATAATTACTTGCACTGACCAGAGAACATGAAGAATTCAATAGCCCCTTGAAATATCTTGAGCTACAGGCAGAAAAAAGCAAGCAGACTGAGATGCAGAATGGCTATAATGGGCCACATCCCCGTTGCTTGGTGATGACACACCTCACTCGGTACCAGTACCCTGCACACTGGGTTACAGAAAACGTTCACATGCTCTAGCAGTATCACAAATCCCCTAAACCCAGCCCGTAACGCAGCCTTCGCCACTGCCAGTAGCCTAGGAGAGGGCTCTGCAGCTTCAGGCCCAAGAAACAAGATAGCTGAAATGCGAACAGGAAGGAATTGCAAGGGAAATCCCAGGTTCAGCAAGCGAACTACACAGGGTGGTTACAAGCAAAAGGATGACTGTGGCGGGGCTTCAGGGAGCTCAAAATTGCTTTTTCATGAAGATGCCCACTGAAGGAGGCAGGCTGATCAAGAAGACATGTATTTGTACAGAATAAATTACCTTGAGCTGATAGTTCAAGTGGAGACTCAAAGGCAACCCTATAAGGATTCATTAAGTTTTTCAGATTCTGAAATAGCTGAAAAGGAAACGTATCGAGAGTTAGCAGCTGAAAACAAAGATGAACTCCAGGGCACCCAGAATTGCCCATCCTTGTTCCATATCTCTAACAAACCTTCCACTACATGTCCTTTAAAACATCGAGTTCATCAGTAAATAAAGTGCTTTAATGACTGTTCCCCTCAAAGGCTTCAGTATCTGTGCCTCCCTGCATGCCACTTCTCGTTCCTGCCCTGCCCTCTGGGGAAGGCACAGTCCATGGGTGGTTGGCCCATTCACTCGTGGGACAGGAGGACGTGTTTCCACACAGCAGAAGAGGAAGGTTTAGACTGTGACTATTGACTCCCTGGGCTTGCTGCTACTCAGCAGACGCTCCCAGAGAGGTGACCCAGGAGGCTCTTACCTTCTCCCCATTGGGGTTTCCAAGAACATAGCAGCCCATGACGTGAATGATATTTGGTTCAGGATTGACTTTACTCATCAGCCGGCTCAACCTCTTCCAGAAGCTGGAAGAAACAAGAAAAAACAGAATACAAAAAAGTCTATCTCCTCATATGCATGAGTAGTCACAAGCATGCTCGTGCACACGCTGCTCAGAAGGGGCCCGAGGCTTGCAGCCTGAGGAGCAAGCTGCTCAGGAAGAGCCATGGGTTCTCAGACAAGGAAGAGCAGGGGCAGAGCAAGGGCCTGAGCAGCAGGTCCAGGTCATATGGCAGAGGAACAGGAGCGGCCCGTCGAGCCAGGGAAGGTCCAAGGTGAAGAGAAGGGAGCAAAGTCCACCGGGAGTGCTTTCAGACTAACAGTTTTACTATGCGTCCCCTTTCTGCAACAGTTCCCTCCAGTTTCCTCTCTCTGGTTTCTACCAACAATTGCCCTCTCTAAACGAGAGTGTTACCAGTGCGCTGGCTCATTGCCAGGCCATGAAACCAGCCGAGAACAGCCGGAGGGCTGCTGCTTCTACACAGCTAGAGAGACAACACCAAACCAGGCTGTTCCACGTCAGCCGGGGCTCGGAGCTGCTCACCACGCGGCCCCGCTTTACGCTTTGTGACTACTGACGAGGCACGCTGTGCCTCAGGGACGTGAAATACAACCACCTCCCCTCTGCAGAGGGCTGGAGCAGGCTTCTGGTGGGCTCTAAAGCCCAGCAGTTCCTCTGTGGGGTCTGCGATCAGACTGCAGCGTAAGCTTTTCTCGGGACTGCCTCCCAGGCACGTACAGGGTGGATGCAGACGTTCACTTCCAAGCATCCAAGCTGTCAGCTGTGTGTTCGCAGCTTTCTGCAGGTCCCTGAATTACCCAACTTCAGACCAGCTATGCCTGGAAGGTGTTGAGAAGCACGTACGTGCACACGTGCTGAAGAATTTTATTGACAGTGTTTGTGCCAGCAGAGCACTGAACAGATGTTGATTTTAATACTCAGCTCTCACGCCAACAAAAAGTTGTGTAGGAACAGGCTGGTATATACATCTTCTCCCCCACAGCGCAGCACTGTCAGCCAAGCAAGTTTGAGCCAGCACAAGCGAGCAGGCAACAAAACAGGCAAAGCTGAACTCTCTGCAAGGAGAAGCAAAATTGCCTCAGCAGCCCCGTCTGACCGGCTGTCCTGTTAGTGAAAACCTGGCTCAGTGACGTGCTGGACTTTGAGCAGGCTTTGCAGAGACAAATTCCATTGCACCCTGCAACGGGAGGGCCGTTACCGGAGACAGCCGTGGGGGGAATGGTTTGGATCCCTGCCACTAGTCGCCTGCTTAGAAATGCCATCTCAGCCACTTCGGAGCAAGAGGCATGAGGTGCATGTTCTGTTTTGTGGTCAGTAAAGCCTTTGTCAGGAGAAGAAAAATCATTTTTATCTCTTTTGATGGTCTCTAGTCCAGACAGACACTAAACAGCAGATGAAAGCATGGTGGCCTGGCCCAGGGCTGCACCAACCAGGGATGGGGACACCTCAGCTCTGCCACCTTCACGACTCCCCTGAAGGGGCTGTAAGCTGCTATTAGGTCCCCCCTCAGCCTCCTCTTCCCCCGACCAAGCCACCCCAGCTCCCTCCACCTCCTCTTCTATGCCATGTGCTACAAACATTGAGGAAACCGAGCAGAAGAATGCTACGTGAGTCCAGAACACAACGCAGCCACTCACAGGATCATATCTTCCTCCTTCTCCACTTTGGCAAAAGTGGCAACTTTGTTCTTTAGCAAGTATAAGTGACCAGGACCTCCCTGCAAGAGAGACAGACAGATGCAAACCGCTTTACACAGGCTTTGAAGAAACAATCAGAGAATCACAGAGTCATTAAGGCTGGAAAAGACCTCCGAGATCATCAAGTCCAACTATCAACCCAACACCCCCATGCCTGCTGAGCCATGTCCCAAAGTGCAACATCTACGTGTTTTTTGAACTCCTCCAGGGATGGTGACTTCACCACTACCCTGCACAGCCTGATCCAATGCCTGACCACTCTTTCAATAAAGAAATTTTTCCTAATCACTGAATGTTAGGGGTTGGAAGGGCCCTCTGTGGGTCATCTAGCCCAACCCCCCTGCC